AGCCAATCAAGCTTTGCACATGAGAGATTAAACCAGTTTAAAAAGCAGTATTTGACATCTATGTATATATAAACAATCGGAAAAGCATAAAATGAAATAGTAATACTGTAATAATAAAATAAGCATTCCCAAATAAGTATCAAGTTGTGATTAACTTGAAGATTCTGTGAAAGCAACTAACACCACAGATGTGTCCCTACACAAGATTTAGGCACAGTCTCAAAAAGAAGAGGTGCAGGGCTAAGGGGTAATGACTAATGAATTCATGGCAGTTTATTTTGTTTTATACTGAACTGTCACCAAACTTACCGAAAGCGCAATAAGAATTGGGTGGGTGGGATGCCAAATGTTGAACATACAATTACAAAAGCAGAAAGACTTTAATATTCGGCATTTTTCAAGCAAGCACCCAGTGCAACATCTCCCCAGATTCTACAAATTCCACAGAATTGTTTCAAGACTTCTGGAAGAGAGAACCAGAAAAGATAACAGAGCACTAAAGAGTCCTGCAGTATATTACCTCAACGTTGTATCCCAAAGCACTTTAGTTGGAAAAGTCCCAATAAAACGTTTCATATCGTTCATTAAAAAAAAAACTAGTAGTAGAACTCTTAAGCCACGTAACTATAACATCTTTTTCCATCCTCTGTACCCTGGCACATCTCTTGTAGGAATGAGCATCAGAGGGCAGGAAAGTATCATTTTTTAAAAAGGAAGCACTGCCTGGGACCCACTTCCTCCTGAAAACTGAATTACTAACAAGATTTTGATTTGGAGGAGTTCCCACATAAATTTGGACATCTCCCAAATCTGGGCAACTTGATTCGGGACTCGGCTCCATCCAAAGCAACTGATGGCCTTGTACTCCATCTTGTGCACTGATGGATTCCTCAAGCTGCCCCATAAATTCACAGATGAGATGAGAGTTGAAGCAGAAGCTTCTTGGTTCCTTGCCTTTCTCTCTTACTTGAGGCACTGCACTACAAGGTGAGTCAACGTCTCCCTGCTCACTGCCATGCCTCAGGAACGAAAACACACTGAAGATTCAAAACGCATTTGTGGAAGGAGATTAACTATGTCAAAAAGCAGGTAAAATTGCTATGTATTATTTTGCCTTCCTAAATGAAGATTAATTAACTTCCAGACATTACAAGCCTGGTTACAGATGTCAGAAATGCTAAAATGAAATATAGAAGGTTTTTGCAGTCCTAACAAAATACACCTGTTACATTAACAAGACTAATTGGTACTCCAGGAAAAACTACATATTTTTATAAGGGTTATCTTATCTGACTCTGGGCCTAATTGAAACCCCTTTGGAGACCCTCTATTATATATAACTGGCATATGAAGGACACAGTTTTGTGAAGATTTTTTTTTAACGGAAAAGAAGTACGTAAAATAAATCTCTGACATAATTTAATTAATAGCACTTGCATGCAAGCCAAATTATGAGTCAGACATAGCCAGCATTCACAGTGATATACTCCAGCCAAGGTGATTGCTTAAAGGTGGACTGAATTACCCTAGTAAAAATGCTGTAGAAATGCTGCGAACGTGTATGTGGTGCTATCAACTGACTCAGTGCCAATAAAGGCTATATTTGCATAAGTAAAGCAAGATCTATGACACCAGGTTTTAAGTTATCTCGGTAATATGTGGATTGGACATACAGCCGCTGTAAGACCAGAAGGCCAAGTTAAATGTCAGACTTTTAAGTAGGAAGCCCAAAGTTGGAAGGATGGTTGATTAAATTTGTATTTGTCTATATACTGTGTTCTGGTTGGAGGGTAGATGTGGATGGACACTGCTTTTGCGAGAGCTCAATTTTGCAAAGGTTTGATTCAACAAAAACAAAGAAGAGACAGAATGCCCCTACGGGAGCAGAGTGAGAAGTCATAAGGCAGGGGAGCAGAGAACCTATTTTCCATTTACTGAACGTGAACATCTCTTTCTTTCCTCTGGTACAACTTTTCAAAAGATTTGCCGCAGGGAGTCAGGAAAAAAGGAATGAAAGGACAAAGCCAAAGTTAACAGTTATCTCAAACTGATAAGGATTTATCAGGCAGGAAGGGATTTTTTTTTTTTTTTAAAGGCAGAAGACTGTCATAAAATACTATTTAGTCTGAGGTACAGCAAGCAGTAAACCTTCAGGCAGATTTTGGGGAAAAGGAAGCAACTTCTTCATTTCATACCTTTCATTGTCTCCACTTCACACCCTAACTGGGTCTCTCACAGTTATCACACAAAGGACAGAGTGCAGATCTTGATATACAGGAGGGCAACACAGGAAGAAACACTCAGGTTTTCTCACAATCAGAGAAGAATGTTTCTTAGTCAAACAGCATAATATCTGATATTTATGAGAATTAGTTTCCAGCATGGATTTAATTTAAACCACAATTTAATTTTTTTAATAATCAAATTTTCCCTGATGATTTAAATGATTTTTTTTAAATCCGATTTTTGCAGTGGTTCTTAACCTTTGTTACTCGGATGCTTTTGAACTGCAATTCCCAGAAACCCCAGTCAGGAGAGCTGGTGGTGAAGGCTTCTGGGAGTTGCAGTCCAAAACTCCTGAGTAACCCAAGGTTAAGAACCAGTGATTTAAATAGTGATTCAAATTGAGTTTTAAAAAACATTATTGATTTTATTATTTACCATGTTAGCATCTAAGAAATTAATACACAGTTGCTTCAAGAGCTCTATTAAAAACGAAACTAAGAGTGAACAGCATTATTGGGCCTAACTGGTGTGAAATAAACTCTGAGAAGCAAAATGGCTTGGGCCAATGCTGAACAGAATAGATTTTCTTCCTGAGTTTGAGGTTAAAGACATGTGGGAGGGGAACCTATGTATTTTCAGCGAAGAAGTCAAAGTTTTCAGCATTACACCTTAAGGGTAGGGGAGGTGCTGAGAGAACCGTTTTGCCCCTCCCAAGAAACTCATGTTGAAGGAGAAAGGCCTACACAACACAACTTCTTCCTTCCACCAGCATTTCTCTTCCCAGGAACTGAAGGAAAATCCTAAACATGGCAAAAAACTGTGGAATGGGCTCTTCCCGCCTAGTATGCTGGTGCCACCTCAATTTGGGAAAGACACCCTGCAGGGGTTTCTCCGCTACTAAAGTGTTGGTTGGAAACAGCTTAGCCAATGCGTTAGCAACTGTATAGCCTTTTCCCCCTTGCCAGCTTCTATAAAAAGCTGACTGGGGAGGGATCTTATCTTTCTACCACCTTGAATTAGTAGCTGCCACCACCTCCCTGTCCTTCATCCTTGAGGGAAACCCCTGCCTTCTCAACAAATAGGAGGACTTCCGTTGTGGGATCTGCCCCATTTCTTGTGTCTGGGAAGTGCAATCAACAAAAGAAACCCCACCCTCCAAAATTCCAACACTGAGGGCTTATTTTCCCCTTTCCTGAAGGGGGAAATTCTCTGGTATGTGAACCATGCAGATGGGCAGAAGGCATGGGGGATTACATCTAAAAAGAAACTAAACAACATTACATTTTAAAAGAAAAGAGTTACAACACATTGAATGCAAAAAGGCAAAATCACGGCGACACATTTCTGAGCACAAAGCTTTAAAAAGTACAGAAGTTGTGAAGAAACAGGAAAACCCATGTAGGTATATATTTTTTGATACTCAGCACAGACAGAAAGAAATTATAATCCCTAATAAAGACTAGCCCATTGCAGCCCTCCTGACAACCATCTAGTTGTTTCTCACCCCCTCTCCTTGCCATGAGATCAGTTCTCCTACACAGCCAGATAAAAAGAGATGAGGAGCCGAGAGAGAGAGAGAGAGAGAGAGAGAGAGAGAGAAGCCACTGTTGCTGGCAATTTAAGAGTTCTTCAATAAACGTGATTGGCTGATACCTATAAGGGAGCAGCTCATACCTGGGAATCATGAATCATCAGTAACATCACTCTTGACATCACATGTAGGTATATATTTTTTGATACTCAGCACAGACAGAAAGAAATTATAATCCCTAATAAAGACTAGCCCATTGCAGCCCTCCTGACAACCATCTAGTTGTTTCTCACCCCCTCTCCTTGCCATGAGATCAGTTCTCCCACAAAGCCAGCTAAAAAGAGATGAGGAACCGAGAGAGAGAGAAGCCACTGTTCCTGGCAATTTAAGAGTTCTTCAATAAACATGATTGGCTGATACCTAGAAGGGAGCAGCTCATACCTGGGAATCATCAGTAACATCACTCTTGACATCACAGACTAACTTTCTCGAAGTGTTCACCCTTTCTAACCTTTCCAAGTTCTATATATGATGCAAGCCTGAGACATGAAGATTAGGACGTTTTACATATGTGGCTGCATGATGACATGGATATATCCACTGCTTTTACAGCAATATAATAATAATCATCGTTACTACTATTAATTACATTTATACCCATACATTTCCACTACAAAAGTGCCCAAGGCTGTTTATAATGTTTCTAAAACAATCCGAACAAGTAGAACAGATCTAACCATAAAACTATTACAATCAATTAGCCCTGTGATAAAAAACGTGAAAATCAATTAAACATACAGTTAAAAACATAGCAGATTTTAAGTTATATGGCAGCATAAAAAATAGTGTTTTGTACCCTTCCTAAAAAGTAATGAGAATGGAAATGGAAATAAACTCTGAAGGAAATGTATTTATTCCACAGTACATGGACTGCATTCCCTTTTAGCTGCGAAGACAAATTTATCTCATAGTTCAGTACTTAAACCAGGAAATTATTTCAGCTTATATTTGCCAAAACGAGGTTTATTCAATGATACAACACTGAGAACTAAGGAAAACATCTAGTCTGAAAACAAAGAGCGTCCTTGATTCCTTCTCTGAGATGTAATAAGCAAAAAGTAAAGAAAAATTAGCAAATGAGGAAAAAAACCACAATTATAAAATGAGAAAAAAACACAAAAAGTACAGCATACATAAAAGAATTAAAGACATTCTGTTTTAAAAAGAAGAAGATCACACTCACTTTGGGAGAACAGGCAGTACACTTGTCAAAGGCCAGGCTGACAGGAAGGACATGATCAAATCTTGACAAAAATCCTCGAATCTGAAAAGCAAAGAGAGGCGCAGGGTTATTATAACAGGGTTGGCTAAATTACCAAGCATCACCTTTCGAAGCAAGTGCAGCCAACAGGTATTTGGTGCTGAGAGCATGCTGACTTCGCTAGGCCTGTTCACAGACACTGCCTTGCCAGGCTCTGTGCAGCATTTCACTGCTGACAGAAAAACAGCACCATCTGGCGTTAAAACCCATTGACTGCAACAAGCGGTAATCAGGTAAAAAGAAGAAACCATAATGGACAAAATGTGATTAAACACCTATTTAGCTTCTTGCTGTAGTGTGAATTTGATGCTAACCAGTTTTCAGTGTTATAGAAGTGTGCATGTGAAATTTCCAGACTACCAGCTTTAAGAAGTCCTTTCGGGGAAAACAAAGGACGTAATGTGATACTACGGATCAATTAAAGAGATCACATTTCTCAGTTTGTCTCTTTCATTCTCAGTGCCCAATCAATAATATCACTCAAGCAATTACTCTTGTGTTTGGAATCTGTACATTTTCAAATATGGCTCATTTTCTTTGTATTATGCTAGCTACTTATTTACAAAGGGTTAACTGCTATTCAGTCTGAATATAACATCCACAGATCTATTTAACCCTTGTTAATCTGTTTCAGCTTTACAGGAATAAAGCACCAAGTACAGTGGTACCTTGCTAGACAATGACCCCACCATACGACAAATCCGCAGGACGGTGACTTTTTTGTGATCACTATAACGATCGCAAAACGATGTTTCCTATGGGGGATTTTCGTTGGACATTGATTAGTTCCGTGTTTCGCGAACTGTTTGTTCGCAAGATGACAATGTTTTCCGGCTCTGCAAAATGGCTGCCCTGTGTTTTCCAGACCCATGCTTCACAAGGCAGCCATTTTAACAGCTGATCGGTGCTCGGAAAATGGCTTCCCTATGGGTGATCTTTGCTGGACAACGAGGTAATTTCCCCATTGGAACGCATTACATGGGCTTCAATGCATTCCAATGGGGAAACTGTTTTCGCTGGACGATGTTTTTGCTTAACAGCGATTTCAGGGGAACAAATTATCATCGTGGTGCGGGGCTCCACTGTATATTTTAATTTGAAGGCTGAAATCCTCCTGCTTAGCGTAAGACAAACTGTAGCTTTCTATCTGTCCCTCCCCATTAAACAAACCACCCCGTCACAATTTTCAGGGGTGTGCATGTGTGAACCTTAAGAATCATGGTGAGACCACGTTGTTTACCAGGGAGGAAAGGACCAATGATTGAGCTGACGCTGTGCAACAGGATTTCAGCTGAAATGTCTGTTATTGTGACCATGCTGGAACCTTGTAATAGTTTTATTTAACCCACTTAATGTTTACATACTTGTAATTTATATAGATTAACAGATCTTCATCTAGTTTTGGTCATTTACATATTTGGACACACAGACAAAATCTTTATTGCTCAATCAACAAATCATTGCAATATTAAAATAGGATTAATACACTGACTTAATATGTCAGTAATATCATACCATAGGCTTTTAACAATAAATATGCAGTCCAGTAGGCATCCTTCAGTCTCGAGAGAGTATGGTAACATGCTCTGTATGGAGATCTTGGAACAGAGTCTAGTGTGGCTGAGAAGGCCAATTCGAGAGTGACAATCTCTTCCACATTGAAGACAAATACAATCTGTCCCCTGTCTGCTTAGCATAAGACAAACTGTAGCTTTCTATCTGTCCCTCCCCATTAAACAAACCATGAAGGCCATGATGCACCGCCTGCCTCCAGGCTGAACGCTCAGATGTCAGAGTTTCCCATTTGTTGAGGTCCATTCCTAAGGCCTTCAGATCCCACTTGCAGATATCCTTGTATCGCAGCTGTGGTCTCCTTCTGGGGCGGTTACCCTGCACTATTTCTCCATACAGGAGATATTTTGGAATCCGAGCATTGGTCATTCTCACGACATGCCCAATGTTGTGGCATGTCGTGGGCATAAATATGCAAGGACTTAAAATAATGCTGATATTTATACATAAAACTGAACTATAAAATATGGTAGTTCATTATTTAAATCAATTTAACTGGGAACCTCAAATAAGGACAATAATAAACTATTTCATATATATTATTTCACTTATGATCTCTGGGTTTATATTAACACCTCTAAATCTTTATGACAATTTACACCAATATTATCCAAAAACTTAGTGGCTTTTACAGCAAATATTGCAGCTCTATTTATAACATATAATTTGGATGTTTGCAATAAATACTTAAAAGCTTCTAATGAATTAGATACTGTATTTATTTAAATATATGAAATCTTTTACTATCACTGTAACAGCTGCGCAGGTTGTATGCTACGTCAACTGTGTATCTGTATCAACTGCATCTCACAGAATAGGATAGGCTCACAAAGATTTCAAATACAGTGGTGCCTCACATAGCGAGGTTAATCCGTTCCGGATTAACCTTCGCTATAGCGAAACATCGCTGAACGGATCAAAAAACCCCATTGGAACGCATTAAACGAATGTGTTCCAATGGGAACGAATGCGTTCCAATGGGCCCAAAACTCACCGTTCAGCGATGAATAAACTATTTCATATATATTATTTCACTTATGATCTCTGGATTTATATTAACACCTCTAAATCTTTATGACAATTTACACCAATATTATCCAAAAACTTAGTGGCTTTTACAGCAAATATTGCAGCTCTATTTATAACATATAATTTGGACATTTGCAATAAATACTTAAATACTTCTAATGATTTAGATACTGTATTTATTTAAATATATGAAATATTTTGCTATCACTGTAACAGCTGCGCAGGTTGTATGCTACTTCAACTGTGTATCTGTATCAACTGCATCTCACAGAATAGGATGGGCTCACAAAGATGTCAAATATTGAGCAAGCTGAAATTGGCATAATGCAGAGAGGCAGGTTTGACCTTTCTATGTGTGTCCTTCACTGCAGCTCAGCAGCGGGAAGGGAGTGGGCTGGAGTCAGGCAAGGCCTGGGCAAAAGGCTAGCAGGTTGGAGAGGAACCTTGCAGGCTGTTTCCAACCCATGGGTCAGACCCCCTACCCACCCATCCACCCAATTCTAAGGCTAACGCTATGAACATGGAAAAATGGATTGAACTGGACTACAAAACACTGAAGAAAGGAATATGGGTAAAGAGTACAAATAAAAAGTGAAGATGAAACACAGAGAGGACCAGTATGAGACACAGTCAATATAGTGTAGTGGTTAAAGAGTGGGACGAGGAGCTAAGATACTGCGTTCAGCTTGGTCCTGAAGCTCACTTGCTAATCTTGGCCCAGTTGCATATTCTCAGCCCTACCAACTCACAAAATCATTATGAAACTAAAGTAAGAGGGGAAAGGGCCACATTTGCCATCTCACTGGTGAAACCAAGCCTTATGAGGAAAGGCTGAAAGAATTGGGCATGGTTAGGCTTGAGGAAAAAAGGACTGAGGGGTGATATGATAGCACTTTTCAAATATTTCAAAGGCTGTCATACAGAGGAGGGGCAAGCTCTGTTCTCGATCATCCCAGAGTGCAGGAGATGCAACAATAGGCTCAAGTTAAAGGATGCCAGATTTCGGTTGAATATCAGGAAAAACATCCTAACAGAGCAGTACGACAGTGGAACCAGTTACCTCGGGAGTTGGTGAGTGCTCCAACACGGAAGGCATTCAAGAAAAACTTAGATAATCACCTGGCAGATATGCTTTGGTTGTATTCCTACATTGAGCAGGAGGTTGGACTCAATGCCCTTATAAGCCCCCTTCCAACTTCACTTTTCTATGATTTCTATGATTTATAATAAAGGCAGAATATAAACGCAAGAACTAAGTAACAAACCTATTCAAGCTCATGGCCCAAAAGAAAAAAAGAGCAAAAGAAATGGTGTTCTGGTGCAAGAACTAAGTAACAAACCTAACCGTATTCAAGCTCATGGCAAAGAAAGAAAAAAAAGAGCAAAAGAAATGGTGTTCTGGGAAGATTATAGTAAGGGTGTCAATCCATTGTCAGTGCAGTCCTACCCATTCTTGCTCAAAGAATGTTTAGCTAAATATGCCCTAACGGCCCATTATTTGTGCCCAGGATCACAGCTTTATCAGAGAAACACACCAAAACAATCTGTTTATTTGGAACAATAGTTTGCTCTGGCAAAATACACTTTTCTTTTGCTTCTGAACTCCAGTGAAGTCATAGCAGCCCTGGGATGGTCCAGGATCATGCTGTGATATATAGGGAGAATGTTATGGATGTGTGCATATAAAACAAGGTCCAGAAATTAAAACACTAGGAAATTCTAGAGCACAGAAAGACAAGGCAAAACTATTTTTGAATGCATTTGTACACAATCTGACCAGAAAACTTGCTGAGCATTGAAATAATGAGAAGACTGTTGCACAGCAGGGCCTTCATAAAGGCCAAAACGACTAAACAGAAGTACTGTACAAAAAAGGGGAGAGGGGAAAAGAGAGGAGGGGTTAGCTGGGTTATGGGGCACTATCTATATTTTCCCTAATTCAAAGCAGCAAGAAAAACAAACAATTCTATCCCTTTTCATTCCAAACGGATACATGAGCAGGAAACCATTTGTTAATACAAAGAAGGGAAAAAAAAACATGGACCAAATAAGATGACATTTTCTAACGCTGTCAAGCATTATTACGCAAGCGATTATTGCAACAAAAACTGACATGATTTTTCACCTCTCTGTGCAATGTAGCTTTTGCAAGGGGAAACAGGCCCCTGGCGAATCTCCAGCTATTTCTTTGTTCTTAAAAAAAGGCAAAAGGATTGCAGGGTTAGCCTTTTAAAAACTAACAAGTCACAGGATAGCAGGGAGAGCAACTAGGAGGAGGTAGTTTTCAAGGACTATAAAATCTCTCAAGTAATCTACTTAAATGCTTTTATTGTTTTTGAAAAAACAAATATGTAGATTGACAACTGGATATGTTTCCAAGGATTGTAAAGGAGGCATTCTTATAATAAATAGATTACATGAGGAAACAGGAAGTTGTCCTTGTTGTTATGTGCCATCATGTCCTTTTGAACTTATGACAGCCCTGCGAATTAATGACCTCCAGATGGTCCTGGCCTTAACAGCTCTGCTTAGGTCTTGCAAAATAAAGGCCAGGGTTTTCTTTATTTAGAGTCAACCCATCTCTTGTTAGGTCTTCCTTTTCCCCACTGAGCCTTGCCTTCTCAGGATATGTCCAAAGTATAATAGCTCTGGTTCCATCATCTTAGCTTCCAGTAAGAATTCAGGCTGGACTTGATCTACAATTGATTTACTGGTTTTTCTCATAGTCAAGGGTACTGTATATCATTAACACTGAATGACTTCCAGTGAGATCCAATGCCATTGACTGAATGGGTTCCTCCCTCTCTTCTGTAAATTTGTTCTGCAGGACTGGGGATCTCCTTGAACGGATGGTGCCACAGTGGAGAATAGAAGGCTCTTTCCATGGATGTGTTTCCTGTCTCAATCAGTGGGGGCATGCTGCTTCACAGAGGCTGAAATCCTGCTGCTCAGTGTAGCAGGCTGCAGCTAGAGAAGGACCAGGGGATTAATTTACAAGGGCTAGTACAAAAGAGGGTAGAACAGAAGTGCATCACTGCATTTCAGTTCCTTTTTCTAGCACAAGGAATATGTGTAAAGTTAGCAGCAGCATATTAAAAAGAAAAACCTTCCCCTCACAGAAGGGAAGCTCTGAATGCCAACCCAAGATTAGATTTTAGAACCTGGGCCAAATCTAATTTGTAACTGATAGAGCTAAACATACATCGTCATGTGTTTTCCAGGTTGCTAGCTGCTGAACAACTGTCCTAAGATAGTCAAGGTGTAGCAATAACTCTAGGAACACTCATATACATACTGTAATGCATAGAACAGAATTACTGGATTTCACCATACTACAAATCTATCAACATAAGACAGAAAAAAAGAATCATTCAGCCAGCGTGACCTTACAACATGGAGACAGTTCATTCTTAGCACTACATTCTAAGGTAAGGTTTGTGATGCTGAAAACCTAAAGTACAGATCACCAATAGAGGTTGTTCCAAAACATCAAACTTGTTTCTGGGACACTATTTTTCCAGTAGCTAACTAAGGGGTGAACCAACAACCTGAAAAAGCTGAGGGTAGCTGTGAAAATCGTGGCTGACCTGTGCAATACAGAAACGATTAGGTGCCTGACACTATTCCTCCCAAGTGTCCCCTGCTTACTCGTAAAGCCAAGTGAACTTCCTCATGTAACAGAAAGCTGAGGGCAATGAAACAGGAAGGCTGGAGGCTGGTGTGTCACTGAAAGGTATCTGACAGTGTAGAAAGCCAACACTCCTGCCATCACTGTGTCCAGACAAAACAGATTCAGTGATGAACTTTCTAACCAAGTAAATCATTTTCCACTAAGGTGCTAGAGAAGATCAGAGAGTCCTCTCCGTGACCAGTTCTCTAGACATTTTGCACACAAGAAAGGACTTGGACTTTGAAATCGGGATACTAGAGTGCTATGACTTTGGCTAATCCCTTGCCTTGTTATCTGAGATAACAAGGGTGTCTGGAACTTTTATACACAACCCCTGCCCTTCCTAACTCACTGAATCTGGAAAGATGGGACTAATGAAATGCTTTCAGGAGATGACTAATACATCTTTACAGGAAGGGGCTGTCTCCTCCTGTTTAACAAAGGAAGTAATAAAGCCCTTAAAAAAAAAAAAGCTGCCTTCAACCTAACAGTTCTGCCATGTTCAAGCCAACAATTCTTGCCACTGTGACTCCAAACATAGATTATCTGAATCCATTTCAATCTGGCTTTAGCCATCTTATGAGATGGAGGCTGTTTCGGTAATTTTGGTAGATAAAAATGTACAGAGTGAAAATATAACTAAAGTATAACAAAATTTAATTAAATCACCATATATTTTCTGGAAAGTGCTTTCCCCTCTAGTAGGACTTTTGAGAATATTGTTTCTACTGAGGTCTCACTGTCTGTACTAGTCTGTTGTAAATTGTTTTCTATTTTTTAATTGAGGTTGTTCTGTGTTGTTTTAGTATGTAATCAGCTACTTTTTTTGAAAAAAGCAGGGTAGAAGGATCAGATATACAGTAGATAAGAGAGACAGAATGAGTTGCATCACATAGACTCATACCAAAGAATTCCCTGGCACCAAAGGACTTGGACTTTGAAATTGGGATACTAGAGTGCTATGACTTTGGCTAATCCCTTGCCTTGTTATCTGAGATAACAAGGGTGTCTGGAACTTTTATACACAACCCCTGCCCTTCCTAACTCACTGAATCTGGAAAGATGGGACTAATGAAATGCTTTCAGGAGATGACTAATACATCTTTACAGGAAGGGGCTGTCTCCTCCTGTTTAACAAAGGAAGTAATAAAGCCCTTAAAAAAAAAAAAGCTGCCTTCAACCTAACAGTTCTGCCATGTTCAAGCCAACAATTCTTGCCACTGTGACTCCAAACATAGATTATCCGAATCCATTTCAATCTGGCTTTAGCCATCTTATGAGATGGAGGCTGTTTCGGTAATTTTGGTAGATAAAAATGTACAGAGTGAAAATATAACTAAAGTATAACAAAATTTAATTAAATCACCATATATTTTCTGGAAAGTGCTTTCCCCTCTAGTAGGACTTTTGAGAATATTGTTTCTACTGAGGTCTCACTGTCTGTACTAGTCTGTTGTAAATAGTTTTCTATTTTTTTAATTGAGGTTGTTCTGTGTTGTTTTAGTATGTAATCAGCTACTTTTTTTGAAAAAAGCAGGGTAGAAGGATCAGATATACAGTAGATAAGAGAGACAGAATGAGTTGCATCACATAGACTCATACCAAAGAATTCCCTGGCACCCTAAAATGAAAGAATTTGCTGGGAAGTCTTTGTTGTTTCCATGGGGCTATCCCTATGGAAATGACTACCAACTCATGGTAGCACCAGTTAAGTCTTCTTGTTGGTGGAAACTCTTCTAACACCAATCCCCTCAACTTGCTAAGCTACATGAATATTTATGCACATCACAGGAAGGCAAAAATCCCATTTTAGAAACTGGATACACACAAGCAGCATGTGGCTGTTCCTTCCCACTTCCCTCCTCTTTTGGAGAAAACATGCCAAGATTCTACAGTCAGACACAGCTTCCCATCAGACAGAAACTAGGAAATGTGATTAAGGACTTCCAAGCAAGTTGACCTCTGAATTAATCTTGTCTAGGAAGAGTCAACTACAATTGAATAGGAGGAAGCTGTGTTTTAATCCTAAATCCTGGCATGTTTTCCTACTCATAATAAAAGAAGAGCAAAGTGGCAGTAAAGGAACTATTAAATCCATTTATTAAGCCAGTATGGCAAGCTTAGTGTGGCATGTGAATTGCTTTATGGTGCTATCTGGCCTTAGCCAACAGAAACCAAATTGGCTGTCGAGTTTACTTAATAAAAGTACCTCACAGTCAAGGATAATAGAAAGGAACTCATATCCTTCACTAGCTACTCATTCTGCTTGAAATTATTACAATATTTCTACACTTCAAACATACTGTCCTAGGATTTCAGTTTATGTTAATCTGAATTCACAAAATCACAACATAAAATGACTCTTTCACTGCACCAGCTTCTCAAGACACTACATTTCAATATTAACCTCACACTTCAGTCTTCATTTACTGATCTGTCATAGTCCTACATACAAAATCAGCAACATAACTGCCATTGTATTCTAGAAGGCTTTCACGGCCAGGATCTAATGGCTGTTGTGGGTTTTTCAGGCTCTTTGGCCGTGTTCTGAAGGTTGTTCTTCCTAACGTTTTGCCAGTCTCTGTGGCAAGCATCTTCAGAGGATAGGAGTCAGAACACCAGAGCACAGACACCAGAGCACAGCACTCTGAAGATGCCCACAACAACCACAACTGCCATTCTTTCTGGTTTACCAACCTGGTGAGGAACAAGTCCAAGAGAAGTGGGAGGTTCGTTCATTCTGTCATCACTACTGCTAGCAACAGCATAGCCACTAAGAAAGAGGGGGAAGAAAATGAACAGCGTGATTCTCTGCTCTGAGCAGCTCAAGATATACAGTAAACACAAAGGCAAAGCTAAAAGTGGTAAGATAAGCTATTTTCCCTAGGAGAAATTGGGCAGTTTAGAATGAACTTTCCTTTTGTAAAAACAGAAATGTAACATCTATAATGCTTTTTCCTCACACAGAATGAGCAGGTACAGGCAGAGTCAAAGTATTGAAATCAGCTTCCAGTTTACTTCCAGTTTACAAGCTGCCTCCTGACTTTGTCACCCACTGATATCAGTGACATGAGTTAGCCCCAGGTCCCATTGATTCCAGTGATCTGAATTCTATTGGTTATTTACTCTAAAGTTAGTGCAACAGCATTAATTGCAGTGGTAAACGGCTACTATTACGCAAGTCAATTCTTGTGTTCTTCATTCTGCACCAAATGCACAACTCCGTTTGAAGTGATGGGCCTGCTCATATAGTTTCAAGCTTAAGCAGAGGGGGGAAAGGGCATGTCTATATAAGGGCATGTCTATCACAAAGCCCGGAGTGAAACCCAATTCAGTTGTGAGCAAATAAGATATGCTTAACCACAGATTGGGGAATGCGGATGGTGCTGCGGGTTAAACTGGTGAGCCACTGGGCTGTTGATCAAAAGGTTGGCAGTTCAAATCTGTGTGATGGGGTGAGCTCCTGTTGCTTGTCCCAGCTCCTAGCAGTTTGAAAGCATGCAAAGCAAGTAGATAAATAGGTACCACCTCGGTGGGAAGGTAACGTCGTTCCATGTCTAGTCATGCCGCCCACATGACCATGGAAAGTGTCTATGGACAAACGTTGGCTCTTCAGGTTACAAACGGGGATGAGCACTGGCCCCTAGAGTTGGACACGACTGGACTTAATTGTCAATGGGAACCTTTATTTTTTAAACCATAGAGAGAGAGTTGTACTCAAGCCCAAACCACTTTGTTCCCAATTGCATTGTCTTCCTACATATGGCACATGGCAAATTTGCTAAGGATGGAATAGAACTTCAGCAGCAGGTTGTATCACTGGCAACAGTGTCAAACTTGACCATATTGGGCTTCACCAGCACTATTTGCAATCTAGAAGAGAGAGCAGGCCCAGGAAACTCCATTAAATATTACTTTTTTCAACAAAGTGAGATAATTATTTGAAAATTTCTAGATTACTCAGTTATAATTAGAACACCTATTGTTTTCTTTAACCCTAGATCCTCTCAGTCTAAATGATCCTCCCCTTCTTATTTTAAAACACAATTCCTTCCCTAAAGCAAAGACTTACCCTTCTGGGTGCTGCAGAATGGATACCATTAATTCTACCGCAAGCGCTCCTGCTATCATGGCTAACCCTGGTCGGCTGACAGTGCACTGCTGATCTAGCGTCCGATCCCTGGTGGACTGCAAAGAAATGGGCTGTCACAGGTTATACTTCCAAGATTCTTAAAGATCTGTAACACTGCTCAAGACATGCAAGGTCCTCTTTCAAATTAATCATTGTACTGGTGTCTCTTCAATCTCAGAGGGGAAAAATCCATTTATTTCAAAGACTTGATTCTAACTACTTTCCCTGTTTTACTAGTCTGCCAGTCTAGATGGGGGGAAGCATGTGGGATAGCAGGAAGATTGGGAAATAATTAAACATTGCCCAACTACTTTTTTGGTTGACAGAAGTCCTCCATCAGTGACATGAATTTAGTTGAGTTCTGTCCCAAAGTACTAGTTGATTATTTACAGTAGCGTAAGTGCAATGGTGTTAACTCAAAGTAGTGAATAGCCACTAATTAATCAGCCCCTGACTGAAATCCCTAGGCACATACACAATCACACATGTGGTGTGCAGAATGAATTTTATCACTGGCTCGTAAATGAGCAGTCATTCACAACTCCAAGGACTGCACTTAAATCGGCATAATTTTTTTGCAGTATTTATTCATTCATTCCAACAATATTTAAAGCTGAAAGCAATGACTATACAAGGGTGGTTTACATAATTAAAAGACAACATTTAAAGATAATATTTAACAATTAGAATATTAAAGTTCAATATTTAAATATTTAATGGACTATTTAAATATTCACTTGGATTCTAACCACTGAGAAGCTTCAGAGAGATGTATTAAAAATGAGAATCATAAAAAGAACCCAATGAATAACACAGGTTTACATGGTCTACTTACATCTCCTGGTGCCACAACATCATTGCAGAAATAGCAACCTAGTTTGTAACCAGGAATATTTGAGAAGAGGGATGATCCCAGAAGATCAGCTGAACCACAGGGATTATTGCAGGGGGAATCACCCACTTCCTGATGCTTTGGTTTCTTTAGTCCGTGTCTCATCACAACAAATGTGTCAAATCCTAGAGCAGCATTGATGACCAACTATACAAAATATCAGAAAGCAAAGAAAGGGACATTCAGTTCAATTCATTGCTGATATTTATACCAATTGAGTTATGCCTGTGTAATATGTAACAGGATTCCAGACAATGAATAATGTTTATAGCTTACTCTTCAGCAAGATTTATCAGAGTAATTTTCAAAACAATCACATTTTATGCAAATACGGCTGGGGTCGCTAACTGAAAAGGAATGGGAACCGCTGTACTGATTATATATTTCTTCTCCAACTTATACCACACATTTAGAGAAGAAATATACAAGTTTCCACTCTTTTTTGAGTCATGACCCTCACTGAGAATAGCCAAATAATCTGTGATCCCCCTGATACATTGGCATGAAAACTCATTTTAATGAGGTACTTTCTCAGAAAGGAGAGACTTTTTTTCTCCCCAAATGGCCTGTTTCTCATAAATACACACAGATGCTAACTTTAATACCCCACTTTGAAAGGTCAAAAAAGAAATGACTGGGACTCCTTTGGGTAGTCGGTACAACTAGATGGGCGGGCTATAAATGTAACAAATAAATAAGTATTGGGGGTCACGGCCCTCAGGTTGGGAAAGACTGAATTAGGAGAAGCCCAGAGCACGATTCTGAGCTATGTGTTTTCATACGATCCAGTTAACATGGTTCATGACAAGAACGACAGGTTACCCACCTGTAATTGTAGTTAAAAATCTATTGTTGGTGCACTTAAGAAGTTAGAATCACCACAGCACTTTCTGCAGCTGAAAGGTCCGAGTTGTATTTAGTCATCAGCCCTCAGTATTTAGTTTTGAACAGCCATCCCAGTTTGCTGCTGACATTATGGTCCTGAGGATTATCCGTACTGTACCTTTCTCTTGCTGGCTGCAATAACTGCTGGCAGCCATCGGCTTTCTCTGGTGTCCATGAGCAAAAAGATGACATCATGAGCATCAATGAGTTCTTCCAGATGGGCCACATCCCTCTGAGCCTGCTGCATGGTGACTTCGGAGAAATTCACCGGGTGACCTGGCATTGGTATACTCATATTAAAACCCTCAGCATTCTAAATGGGAAGCAAGCAAAGAGAGACAGAGGCCGTCTTCCACTGAGAATAGAACTTTTATGGAGAAAGGCAGGATAAAAAAAAGTTTAAATAAATTTAAATAAAGACTTCTCAAGTCCAAGGTTCCCTCCCCACCACACACACGCCTCTCAAGTTTCAGACACTTCATTTGTAAGGCTGTTTGTCAATATTAGCCTGAACTCATCCCATCACATAGGATTTCTGAAATTTAGCATACCAGAGCCAATTACTACCTGGATCAAAAATCGCCAGAGAACACCAGGGATCTGCAGCTATGGCTAGGAAAGAATCCTGCTGAAACCAAGGAGTGGCATTGCTGCCATCCAGAGTCAACCATATTGGGACAGATGGAGTAAGAGTTCGCTTCATTTTAAGGTACACTCCTGTGAACTTGATGGGTTTATTGGCAATAAATGATCCATGTCCTGCAGGCTCCAGTCAGTCAGCAAGATTAAAAAATGTGTGACTATGGTAAGTAATGGGAGATAGCATCCAACAGCTCTTGACACACTTGGAGGCACTTTTGAGTGTCATGGGCAGTTGTCTTGGCCTTACGTTGCAGGTGCAAGCACAATGCATACCGAAACAAATGACAATCAGTGAAGGAGTTAAGCAGACAGAACAAATCTATATACCTATACAGATTTAACAACATGAAAGTTGCCACTATATTGGAAAAGGAAACAGAACAATTACATGAACATGAAGCACATGGGTCATTATGACCATTCCATAAAGATCTTCAGTACTGGAGAATAAGTCAGCTACAGTATACTATGTTTCCCCCCCTAAAAAAAAAACAGTATCAGATTGATACTTATAGGAATACGGTTATTTTTCTAACTGAATAGGCAGTTGTGAATCGTTGCAGTTCAAAAACACCTGAGTAACCCAAGGTTAAGAACCACTGAGCTATACTATGTTTCCCCCCCTAAAAAAAACAGTATCAGTTTGATACTTATAGGAATACAGTTATTTTTCTAACTGAATAGGCAGTTGTGAATCAAGACAATGTTGCCCCAATCCCACTAAATATTCCACAGGTTAAGAAAAAAAAACACTGTTTTCTAGGAAAGAAAACATAAGTTGTAGCAATTTTGAAAAGGCAGTTCATGCACCACACTATATTAAAAGAAAGAAGAAGAAAAAAACCACAGAAGCCCAGCCAGCTTTATGAAACAACAATAATACTGCCGCATCCTATTATGCGGACCTGGAGAATATACAGTATCATTTCCCGAGAGTAGTGCCAATCAAGTACAGAAAAGAGGCAGCATTATTTCTACAGGTAAAGGACAGTGGTTGGAAAAGCACATTTTTCTCTCTTAAACGCTTTTTAAAAAGACATGTAGGAAGAGAATGCCAAAAGAAACCTAATAGAACTTTAGTTTCTTCAACCTCGGTCAATCAAACAACAATGCAGGTCTCAGAAATAATCCAACCAAATTTATTTATTTATTTAATTTATTTATTGAACAGTGCAGGTCTCAGAAATAATCCAACCAAATCAGTCACATAAGTAAACAATAGCATAGAAATATATGGATAGTTTTTTTTGCTATCTCGTTTTATTTATTTATTTGTTTGTTTGTTTATTATACCACTCTGAGCGGCAAATCAGTCACATATGTAAACAATAGCATAGAAATATATGGATAGTTTTTTTTGCTATCTCGTTTTATTTATTTATTTGTTTGTTTGTTTGTTTATTTATTTATATTATTTATTTGATTTGTATCATTCTTTTGTATAGTCATCAAGCTCACCACCACCTCCTCCCACTAAATCTCAGAAGTTGTCATTCTATTACCAAAGTTTTTAAAAAGTGAAAATGGTGTCTATCTATGGAATGGGGACTTCCTGAAAATAATAGCATAAGAAAAACAGCTGGTTTGTCATCCTTCTCTGCAGCTGAGCTCCATGTGAAAGTGTTGAATTGTAGAGTATTTCAGAAGAGAAAGCATTTTGATTTTGTTTAAAAAGGATCTTTCAAAAATATATCGTCCTTGCACTTATGCCCACACTTTTTTGTGTGAGTGCACACAAAAGCATGAAATAGCATGCAAAAATTGAAAGCGCAGGCAATCTAAAAAGATGATAATCTTCCCCTTTGCACTGCAATTGAGCTTAATGAACAGCAGATGGCTCAAGTAAAACATTTTATTGCAAACTCTACAAATTTCAAGCAACCATGAAATAACCTTTTAAACACATTTCTTTATCTTACTTATTTAGAACATTTTTACCCTGCCTTTCTCCTTGAAAAGGACCCAAAGCAGCTTTACAACAATGGAAGACAATATTTAAGGTTGAAAACACAGATGGTCGGATCCCATAATAAAGCATTCATAAAAGCTCTCCATTGCCACTCCCGTGTGTCCCCTTCACCATCACATCCAAAACCTCTTCTGCAGCAGCACGGCTTTATACAGGCTGCCTTCACAACGTCTCCCCTAAATTCCACACCAGAACCGCAAAAGGGATGTGAATCCTTTTTCCAAAACATTCTTATGGTCACATTGCACTGGATCCAAACTACACACTTTACATATTTTGGCCACATGTAAAATATTTTGTGGTTGAACAGGTGTCATTTTTTATCTTGTCTATGTTAGTCCAGATAGAAAGAAGCACTCACAACCACATTGCAAATATCCGCTCACTACTTGAGTGCACAAGTGAGTTTCAGAAGAAGATCAGTGTATGGTGATGTATAGACTACAGCAAAGCCTCTGACTGTTTAGACCGTGAGGATCTATGGGTTGTTCTGAAAGAAATGTGTGTACTTCTGTATCTGATTGTCCTGATGTGTAACTTCTATTGTGTACAAAAAGCAAGTGACAGAATCTGGAGAGACAGAATGGTTTCCTATAGGCAAAGGTGTCAGAAAAGAGTGCATTTTATCCTTTTACCTGTTTAATGTGTATGCCAAACATATCATACACAAAGCCAGATTACAGTTAGATGAAGGAGGAGTAAAAACTGGCAGAAGAAACATCAGCAACTTCAAATATGCAGATGACACTAACTTACTGACAGAAAGCAACAATGACTTGAATTGACATTTAGAAAAAGTGAAAGAACAAAGTGCCAAAGCAGGACTGTAGCTGAACATGAAGAACACAAAAATCGTGACTAAAGAACTATATAACTTTAACGCTGACAACGAAAGAAACTGAAATTGTTATGGATTTTGTATACCTTGGTTCAGTCATCAATCCAAACACAGACTGAAGCCAAGAAATCAGGAGAAGACCAAGACTCAGAAGGGCATCAATGAAAGAATTAGAAAGGATAATCAAGTGTAAGGATATGTCACTGGAGACCAAGATAATCTAGAGTAGAAGCCCATATCAACTGGGGGATGGTTCCAAGCCTCTGTATACTGAAAACTATGGATAACTGCAAGCACTATATATATATATAGCATGGTAAAAGTGGGGGGAGAAAATACATATTTTCACATGCATTATCAAAATTGGCCACTAGAGGCCACCAGAGATAATGCTATATAGTCTTCACTAATACTTATTCACAGCATGGTCTCTGTCTCCCTCTAGCGGCCAGTACTGTTAATACATGTAAAAAAAAATTCTGGATTTTTAAAAATCATTTTTAAGCATTTCAGACTGTGGATAAGTGAATCAGTGGATACTGATCCTGTGGATGAGGGGGTCCTACTGTATTACATCATATTTCTGATCACTATGTACTGGTGTGAAAGCTGGACAGTGAAGAAAGCTGATAGGAAAAAAACTGATTCATTTGAAATCTGGTGCTAGAGGAGAGCTTTGTGGATACACTGGAATGCCAGAAAGATGAACAAATGATCCCTAGAACAAATCAAGCCTGAACTATCCCTTGAGTCAAAAATAGCAAAACTGGGATATCAGAAGGTGGCAAGGTTCTCTGAAAAAGACAATTATGTTGGGGAAGGTTGAAGGAAGCAGGAAAAAGAAGAGATGGACTGAGTCCCTAAAGCTTACGTTTACAAAAGCTGAACAGGGCAGGGCCAGACAGGACATTCCGGAGATCACTTATTCATAGGACTGCCATAAGTTGGAAGCAGCTTTATGGCACTGAACAACTAAAGCAATATAAGTCAAGAGGGAGAAAAATCTATTAACCTACTGACAGCATTCACCTTTTACACATAAAGATATTTAGTGCTCACAGGACGATTAGAGCAGCTACTGGACTAGTACATCTAGAAGTGCAGAGAAAAAAGCAGAGGCTGCCAGACAAAACAGGCCACTGAACCGAGACACAGGTTAAGAATGAAAACCATCACTAGCTGACAGATAGACATATGCAGTTCAGTTTAATGTAGTAAACTCCAGATGTGTTTCTTGTCAAGATCACAGGAATTAGTCATAAAGTATTGGCTTATTATGAAGGAACACAGAATTCCTACCATATTTTATTGTGGGAGCTTTCAGCCCAACTTTGCTGCAGGATTTGCAAGAGAGGCGTCTTTCATTATTAGCTTGACACTTCAAGGACAAATTAAGCAGAGCAGTGCATTGCAAACAACAATACTTTCATGATGCTTCAGCCATCTCAGCTCTATGAAGAATACAGTTTGAGAAAGAATAACAACCGCCCCCCCCAAAAAAACACACCCCACACTAGTTTGTCCTGGCACTCCCAGCCTGCTCTCTGCTTTACAGAAACTAAATGCTTTTGAGGGATGCTGACACCACCCATTTTCACAATTAAGTACTAGCTGTGTACTAAATGCCTTGCAAATCATCCACTCAGTTCACAGTGAGAACATGTAAAGTTCACTTCTGTCACACTATTTTTGGTACACTCAGTATTATTTGTTCAGTAATTACATTTATATTCTGTTCTCCAATCACCTCACAACAGCATACACGGCCATTCACCTCCGCAGTTCAGTCTCCTTTTCTCTGTGAAGTAAGTCACCCAGTGAGTTTTATCACCAAGTGGGGATTAGAATCCAGTTCTCCTGAGTACTAGCTCAACACTTTAATCACTACAGCATACTACCATTATAAGACATGTTTTGCAGTTACACACAGAGAGAGACAAACCTTAGGCCTTTCTTGGAAACAGCCATAGTGACTGCATTTAACCTGTAGCCCACCGTCTCTCTTAAAACAGGGAAGCAAGCAGTGTTGTTCAGTCTGTTTCAGGAGCTAAAATATGAATAGCTTGCAAAACTATACAGTATCTTAAAATGAAGCATTCCTGAGGTTACTTCTTCAGAAGAGGAGGGTGTGCAGATGCCAAGAGACTGGGACCTATTCCAACAGGCTGTATCCCCTCATTTTGTCAAAACTGGATGTGACTAGAAGTCCCCCCCCTCAAAAAAAAGGTTACTTTGGGCTATTCTGAGGTGCAAACACCTCAAAATCGTGAATCAGGACTCTAGACATGCGACTCTCTATTTTTGGTCAAACATTTTTTGACGGTGGACTTCAGGGGTCTAAGAGACTAAGAAAGACACAAAGAAGCCTCCTGAGGCCAAATGCTACACACACTTGAGCGCAGCAACGCCTGGAAAGTTGCAGGGACAGGGAAGAGGGAAATGGATGCAGCGCACGGTGCATGTGTGAGGGAGAAAAAAGGTCCTTCATCTGGCTGGCATATTGACCCTGTGTGCCAACTCAGGCAGCTCCCCAGAATATAGGTCCTACACGCCTAGACAAACAAGAAGGGACCTCAAACTTGCGACCCTACACTATCAGAACAAAAATGCTCCCCCCCTTTTTTATGCAAATCCTTTTCTTCCCTCCTCCTTCAGGAAAAGTTGGGGGTTACATTTGAAGAGGCAAACTGCAGTGCCTACAAATCACAATTTCCATTCCAGTTTGGACACAGAACAGAACTTCAAGTGGGTTTCAGTCTCCTGTGAGAAGGGAAGCTCTAAACCAGCGGTTCCCAACCGTGGGTAACCCAGGTGTCCTTGGATTGCAACTCCCAGAAATCCCCAACCAGTACAACTAGTGGTCAAGGCTTCTGGGAACTGCAGTCCTAAAATACCTGCGTCACCCAAGGTTGGGAACCACTGCTCCGAATCCAGGCTTCGTCTTTTGGAGATTAATAATTGTGTGCCATCAATTCCAACTTATGCTGACCCTTTCCCAGGATGTTCTAGGTATAAAATATTCAGAAATGCTTTGCCAGTCTCTCCTTCTGGTAGCGCTCTGGGATTGTGCCACTTGCCCAAGCAGGGAACACAACATGCTGTTTGCTGGGAACAGAGAACATAATCACATCAACCACACTTGCTCTAGGGGGATCTCAGGCGGCCCCTTTCTTGAGAGACAAGGTGAGGATTTGAGCTTCCAGTCCCTGGTTCTGCAACCAAGTACGCCAAGACACTAAGCTATACCTGCACCTACGTGAAATTATTGTCTCTGAAACTAACTACCAAATTCAGCCATTGTTTGAATGGTATACTCTAGGTAGGATTCATGTTCTACTTAGCCCAAGCTATGCCTTGCAAAGCGGGCAGTTAACATGCCTGGTACAGCTACAATTATAAATGATGGCTTGCTGAAATAAGATAAAAGAAAGAAGATACAAATCAGAGTAAGCAGAGGGAACATAAATCCAAGAGCATATTTCTTATTATCCATCATGTGTAAAACTATTAGTATGAAATATCACTACGAAATATCTCAAAATATGAAATATCTCAAAAGGGTGCACCTATGCAGGCCATTGGTGGCACAGCATAACATACCCCAGGAGTAGACAAACTGGCACCCTCCAGGTGTTTGAGACTACAGATCCCATAAAGCCTAGTCGCCTTGGCCAATAGATAGGTATTATAGGAGTTTTAACCTTATACACCTGAAAAACAGGTTTACTATCTTTGTTCCAAAGAAAACTGGACATTCATAACTGTAACACTTTGGAGTCAGTCAAGACAAATTTGCTTAAAAATAAGATCAAGTACAGTGATGCCTCGCAAGATGAAAATAATTCGTTCCGTGAGTCACTTTGTATTGCGAAAATTTCATCTTGCGAAGCGCGGTTTCCCATAGGAATGCACTGAAATTTAATTAATGCGTTCCTATGGGTGAAAAAAGTCAGAAAAGATGGGGGGGGGAGAAAGAGAGACAGAGAGGAGGCGGAACAAGCAGGCAAAGTTACTAAGATCCCCTTCCTCCCCCCTTTCCCCTAAAAAAGAGAAGCTGCTTACTGGCAGATTGCACTTCCCCCCCTTCCAATAAGCCCAAGTCTCCAAGCCTCGGGAAAGCTCATTCGCTCTGGCGCAGACTCACTGAAGCGCATGGCTTTCTCCTCTCGGGCAGAAAAGTTTCTTTTCCACAGCCCTCCTCCCTCCTTTCGGCCCCTTCACTCCCTCCATCCGTCCATCCCTCTCTCCTTCTCGGCCTTTCTCTGTCTCTCCCCGCGGGCAGACGCCACCAATTTTCAGGGGATGCCTACCAGCATGTTCAGCCTCAACAACATCTTGGCAGCCAGACCGTGCTGCAAGGAGGCGGCGGTGCTGCTCCAGCAGCACCTGCC